TACACCATCATGTGCTTCTTTTTCTCCTTCCTCCCATCCTCTCTGGTCCACAAACCATCTCAAGCATGTTATTCTCAGTCTTCTTCAGTCTCTGCCTGCTTCTCTTACTTCCTCTTTCTCTCTGTGTGCACCTACAGGATATCTCACTTTCTCTTTCCCCCCTCCTTCTCTTTTGTCTTCATCTCCTCTGCTCTTTCGACTCCCTTTCAATCAGTAACCTGCTGATCTTGGTGACATTTTTCTAAAAGCCTTACCAGTCTGAAAACAGAGGAGCAATGCTTTGGTTTCTGTTAACATAGCGAGGTCACATTCATTAAAACATACACTGCAATAGTGAGTCTTTAGGATGCACTGTAGAGCGTAGAATTCAGCCTAGCCACATATTGCAATACAAGAATGTAAGTAGTAGTCGACATCTGTTTTCTTGCCTGACCTGATGTTCACTAGGGTTAGCTACACTAGCCATTAGCCACAATTACACTCTAATCTACAGAACAAGAGAAATATTTTCATAAAAAACTAAATGGTTGAAAACAGTTTTTGTGAATTTACATACCCAGGAAGCAAAACTATGATCAGCTAATTGTACTTTAAGTGCGGTAAAAGTATTCATTATGCAGAAACATGCCTTTCTAAATGTTGCATTATTATAGACTACATGTGATATTATTGGATTACAATTATTGATGCTATATTATTGGACCAAATACTTAATATACTGCTGAGTAGTTTGTCATTTGCTTTTGCAGGTAAACATCTGCAGAGCTTTTGTCTAAAACACATGTAACGTAATAAAAAAATACAATATTTTCATTTGAAATATAGTAGACCATAAGTATATGGTAACACAAAAGTGCCAGTGCCTCAGAATTATAGTTAAGTACAGTACTTGAGTAAATATATTGACTACGTTCATTGTTTTTTGTAAACCAGAAGTGAAAGCTTTGACACACTGTGCCACCACAGGACCATTGTTTCAGTATATCAGTGAATTAATTCATCCTGGTCATATCATGCTGTCCATTCACAGCAGGCCCATGTGTACTCGCCTTTCCACCACGAGCCCCTCTCCATGCAGGCGGATGTGGCACAGCTTCACAGAGACGCGGCAGCTCTGTCCATTCACCGCACACTGGCCTGTGCAAAACTACAAGGAGCCATGAGCACGAGAAAAGAGCCCTGTTTTCTTATCTGTCTTTGATTTGTAAATACCTCAGTGCGACAACTTCCAGGCTTGTATCTTATAGCCATCAAACATTTACATAAGAAAGTTGACAAAGGCTGAAAGTGCAGAGGAGGCCTTGCAACAAAGAGGGCCATTTATAGTGTACAGTCAGAGAAACAGAAAGGGAGGGTAGGAGGAGAAGCTGGGAGGAGAGTTGAATTAATGAATTAAAAATGCTCTAAAACATTTGGGTTTATATAGAGAGGCATGCAGGGGGTCCTGGAGGAGAGGACGGCACGGGCTTCTTTAACTTCTCTTTGAGCAGACACACAGGACTCCCTCGCCGCTGCTCATGCATGGAGACGTACTAGCTGTGCTCATCTGATTACATAATGACCCAGTAACAGGGAGCTGGAGCCGGTGCCGCCAGTACCACAGTGCTGGGAGACGCCGACCGACCGCTGGGTAATCCTCATCCAGGCCTCTCCTCTAACAGGCATTTTATCCGAGAGTGTTTCCTTTTTGAAGTAAAGGATGAAACTGATGTAGAAGGACTGCATAAGAAAATGTGATGTCAGCAAGTGCACATCATACAAAACCCCAGAAAAAACCCTTTTCTTTTGTCTGTCGTTTCTCTGAGACAGACAGAGTTGTGTGTCACTGTGTACAGGACAGTGAAACCAATTCAGTCTTCAGGTCTCTAAGCTGTGGTCAAGGTGAAAGGTAAGAGACAAACATTTTAAAACCAGTGTCTCATCTTTATATTGTGTAACTACTGCTTCTACTTGTCAAGATAGCAGAGAGGTTTTGAATTGAAATATGAAAATAATGTGCAGCTCTGACAGCGCTTTCTAAGTGTAGGTGTAATCACTGTACTTTAATTAGTTCTTTGTTATTTATTATACAATTCAATATCAACAGATGTGCTCAACTAAAGAGCCTCATAATATACTTATAAGGACAATGAGTATGTTTTGATGGATTTATCTTATCTTACTCTAATCTTTTATTTACTTTCTTGTTGTTTTCCTATAATACTTCATCCTCCCATGATGCACTTGTTCTTAGATTTTTCTTTTCTCCCTATGATATTTACTAGTTTTACTGTGGGAAATATTCAGAGGAAACACTACATATCCTTGTTTAATACTGTTTGTGGTTAACATTCAAACAGGTGCTCGGTCATGAGAAAAGTAGTGACACGTTTACAGGAATATTTGTAATGCATGTAACAAAAAACATAGTTCTGCAATATTTAAGTACAGAGTTTAGCTAAGTTTCCATATTCGCTTTTTATCAGTTTCTACTTTCAGTGTGACAAACATTTAGATGCAAAAGGAAAACATTGGGATAGCTGCTGCAGTTATGTGAGAAGTAGCAGTTGTACTGTAGTAAGTTACTCATAGTAGCAGCAAATATCAAAAGATGTGAATGAAATGCAGAGGAAAGAATTTTAACTCCAAGTCTATGGGCAACCCTGGCTATGAAACATTCAGTCACAAGGAGTCACTGATGCATCCTCATCAGCGCCACAGTAGCAGGAGAACAGATTTACAGCAGAGATAGGTCACTGGCTGCTACCGACTTGAAAGAAGACAGTAAAAGTAAATGATTGCCTAGTGGCCATCAGCTGCTTTCCATGGCTTAATTTAGCCCAGTGTCATAACTCTTCAGCCAGTAATTCATGGCAGAGGAAGAGAAGACTAGTGGTTTGGGGAAGTGTTAGATTCAGAATGAGGCCTGGACAGTCAGCTGGGCACAGAGACACTGAGACATATGCCTCATCACCATGGTTACTGATCACTGCTACTTCCTGTTGTTACTGTAAAGTTACTGATTGCAATATAGGACAATGTCAACACAATACAAATACATTAAATGTGGACGGTAAATTTAGATATTGTAGATGGGCAATTAAATTATATGCAGGGGGAATTTATTTATTTATGCTTTCATTCTGTTGCTCCTCCAAACATCAGATAGAATGTAGGTGGATGCTGAATGGCTTGCTTGGTGGTCAAACAGCAGCTGAAGCCCTCTCTCTCTTTATGCTTTCTGAAACCAACAATCTGCCAGTCAGCTCCACCTTACATAGTGACCATCAACCAGCTGTGTGGACATGAGAAGGACCTCACGTTTGTTTACGGTTCATATGTACAAGTGAGTACAACTCGCTGGATGCACCCAGTGAGTGACTGCTCAGCTAGTGAGTGGTCTTATCTCAATTTAAACAACGTTTGTCTTTCACCCACTTCAGTGAACCACTCTTCACATTTCATCGTGTTCATTTTTTGGATAAACTGGAGGTTTAAGTGTTATTTTTCAGGGATGCCAGAAACGCTAATTTTTGTATTGGACAGGTTCATGCTAAAAATGAATAAAGACAAAACTCATTTGGTTACTTGGAAAAAGCACCACAGAGCTGAAAACTCATTTAAAACGTCCAAGTTTAAAAATACATATGCTGGTAAAGCCCCCCAAATAAAGTTACTTTCTCTTTGGCCTCACTTGCACCTGACAGCGATAAGTGGAGTTTCCATCATTTGCAGTGTAAATAAAAAGACTGACGCAGCAGTAACTCATTTGTATGTCAGTGTGCGGTGCTCAGTTCGGCTCCGCTCAGTTTGTATTTTTATGGTCTTGTGTTGGCTGAGCAGATCTCGACTTGGCACAGCCTGTGTTAATGTTTAGACAGTGCCCTCAGTCGGCTTCAGAGGCTGCTGTGGTGTGGACACTGTTCGCGGTGTTAGGTATTTTTAGTCAGATAGAAATTAGATAGATACTTTATGTATTAGAAATGTTTAGTGGAGATAGGA